ATATAAATATAAATATAAATATAAATATAAATATAAATATAAATATAAATATAAATATAAATATAAATATAAATATAGTAAATTTGCAAAGTTTATTTTAACATACCTCAGATAAACTGTTATCTTTTCGAATACAAAGCTCCTTTAAAGCAACACGTACTGGACCCGCTCTCTTCAAAATATATTTTTTCCCCATATCTTTGAAATTTATAGAAATTCGATATCGTAAAGGAGGACCTTCATTCCATAAAGCTTCAGAAACTTTTCCAGATCCACTCTTACTAATCTCTTTAATATCACTAAATTTTTCAAAAGGGATCCATTCAATAAACTGTTCGCAATTTTTAGCGCTTGATTGAATTTGTTGAATATATTTATCGAGCTCAGAATCACCACTTGTTAATTCTAAACTTTTCGGACGTGTGCGAGTGGATTCACATAGTAGACACCATTTGCCAAAGAATGACTGATTACATTCTGGACATGGTGTTGAGGATTTATTTTCTACATCATGCGACTCTGTTTTTTGAGTATACTTGCATTTTTGAAAGATTTTTTTCCTGAAGTCGATATGATTTCCTTGGGTGTACAGGGTACTTGGTGAAACACTCATATTAAATAATGTTGATTTTTAAAAATTTATAAAATGATATAAGAATAGGAAAGCGCGATTTCTAAATAACTTAATAATAATATGTATTAAACGCGGTCATCTAAGTTCATAGCTGCGCCAAATATGAAAAGAATGTATTAATTAATTTATTATATATAATCAGGTGAAAATAAAAGAATAAGGAGAATAAGAAAAAAAAACGAAAGATATTAGAATTTAACGTTTTTATATAGTTGGAAAAATTTTTTCAAAGTTCAAAAGTTATAGCTAAACGAACCAAATTGATTATATATGCGTATGCGAGATAAATTATACACATTCTGATTTCTTAAGCATATTATTCTAATTTAAATTTTTTGAGTTGATTTCTTAAAAAAAAACTTGAAGTGTTAAACAAACAAAACATACAAGCATATAAAAGCATTTATTTAGCCACAAAGTTCAAATAATAGTATATAACAAATTATTTATTGATTTTCAAAACGTTTTATGTAGTCCTTAATGCTGATAAACATTGGTTTTTACAGGATGTGCAACGTAAAACTAACCGGAGCGCATTCTTAATTTGAAATATTCTTTGTTATTAAAGAAGGACGTACCGTACGTACGTACATAAATAATCATGTGTTACTTTAAGACCTTTTACATAAGAGAGATACATGTTACAATTAAGCCTCTATAGGTTAAAAAGGATAATTTATTGTGCAGCAAACGTGCGTATATAGGCTGAGGAGAAGTTGCGCGGTTTGTATACAAAGTTTACTTTAAATAAATGCTAGTCAAATCATATTTTAAAATATAGTTGATCATTCTAAATAAATGTACACCCTCAGGACAATGGTTCTATTCTGCGAAATATTGTTTTACCACATGGGCTAAAAGTCAGGATTGGGTTCTAGTAAAAAGGAACCCAAGATTTAGTTTCTGATTGTGCATATACTGTAAATGTTATAGTGCGATTGTTGATTGTTTTGAATTATTAAAGGAATAATATTTTGCATGAAAGATATAATAGATTATGTGTAAAATTAACTTACTGGAATATCATTAATGTACTGATTGTTTTTGCGCAATTCTATTACAGATTATAGAATAGCCCATATGCGCAACGTTAGATGACCTATCCCATTATCAGAAAATCTGTAGCACTAAAGTTCTGTTTTGTAGTTTAATCCATATGTATTGTAAAATAATGAATATGCATTTAAGGAATTTAAGGAGGTAATTGTAAACCCGTATGTACGCATTTAGAGGTTAAAGTTAATCAAATTTTATACGTATATATATAAATATGACTTATATATAACTGATAAGTATTAAGCGTATTAATTATACGTATTGTGGGATAGTTTATAGTAGATAAATAGTAACCCAAACTGTTTCAGTATTTGGGACTACGTGATGACTAGTATCACATTAGGTGCTTACAGTGTTATTGCTATTGTCGAAACTGTACGATATTATTCATCACCACATCACTAGTAGAGAAGGAATAGCGATAGAGATGCGCTAATGATTGTTTGTCAACTAAAAGTTCTATTTTTTTTTATTTTTATATTTTCTTTTTTTTTATATTTTTGCAACTATGTATATTTAACAACTATTTAATAAGTTTAATAAAAAAAAAATTTATATTTATATTTAATTCTATATATTAGTCAAATTGCGTGTGATACTCTTATTTTGCGGTTTGACTTGACTGGTTAATTTTATTAAAGTATATGAGCACCGCCAAGGGAAAACCTGTCACGGACTTTCAATTATAGATTCTTCATAGATGGCTAACTGTACACAAAATATAATACAAAATATAATACAAAATATAATACAAAATATAACAAAATATAATTGAAAGTCCGATGACCGGGTTTCCCTTGGCGACACTCATATGTGGTATAATCCTAAATCAATTAAATTTATACCTTAAGGTAAAGTAAAAAATGTTGCAATTAATTGGTAAAGATGGAATATGGTAATCAAGTATATAAGATCAAAGGTGTAAATTATTATGCATTATTGTCTTGCGTACAATGCAAGGTGGCCTTTAAGAGTTTAACCAGAATTCTGAATGTATCATCAGATTTTTTTTTTAATGAGGTAAAAAAAAAGAAATAAATTTATATTTTTTTTATATAAATAAAAGAATTTAACTAATTTTATCACGGCTTAAAATTATACCTATTTATACGTATGGATATTCATAATTATCCGTAAAAGAATTTATGGATATTCATTGGTTATTCTGGGTATATTAATTCTAGACAATATTCATTGAATATCACGACTATTCACGAATTTTATGAACCTTTCATTGATATAACCTAATCCTCGATTATTTCGATTATTCATGAATATTGTGTAGCTGAATATTTGCTTTTAATGGATCCTAGCTCGATCCATAATTTATTATTCAAATTTTATACGTAGTTGTTGATTTAGTTGAATCGGCAATCTGCATAATTTTTTTTTTTGTCCCGCGAATCCTGTGATTACAATAAGGAATCACTTCAATTTCGTCATACTTCGCGGAACTCATTTTAGAATTCCCTTTTATTGATAACAAAATATAAAGTGGCTATCTACGTTGCATTCACGGACTCACGGTACTCAAAAAAAAAAATTATGCAGATCGTCGATCCAACTAAATTGAAATTAGAGGTTGGAACCGGTTTTAAATATTCGAGTTTATCACATCAAAATTCGAGTTTATCACTCCAAAATTCGAGT